AGCACCAATGTGTTCTGTCAAGCATGTGATCTGAATGTTAGTCTTCCAGTATCCAGGGATCTCAAGCTGATTCTATCAGACTTTCAAATGGAATAGTAGTGACGGCCAAGAAGAAAATGTGTCAGTATGAAAAAACTGGGCGATAGCGGCACGATAACAACTATGTTGTATGCAGGGTAATCTGGTTCTAAAATGAAGTCAACGTGGTAGTATGTGTGTTAAAACAAGGTTCATTCTTTTATATACTACAGACAAATTGGCCACTTTCCTCTTGAGAAGTGCTATTTTCTAAGATGTTTAGCAGCATGATATCTACATGCTCTATTATTAGGGATAACTAAGAGTACACTAAACAGCTATTTTTCCTCACATCCACACTTGATCAATGCAGTAAAATAGGTTTTGCAAAGCAGCTGCACTTAACTCTGAAAGCGAAGCTACAAAAAATTTGATTAGTAATGCAAAAAATCCCCTACCTAAAAAAAAAGCTGCCCCCATCCTGGTACAAGACATTAAAAACAGTACTCTTAAAAGTGATTAAAATAGGGGTTAAAAAATTCACTGATGAACTCACCATTAGCAAACGGGAAGCTCGACAATTGAAAGAAGAGGAGAGATTATCAAAACTATCAGATTCTACTAATTTAAGCTTTCATTAAAATTCAGTTTTAGCCCTTGCAGTTGTGAAAAAGCTTCACATCACCTATGCTAGGTTTCACTCCTCCTCACCCACAACACCTTTTTGTAGCCACCTCTGGCTAGGTATCTGCAGACCACTAGGTAAGTACAATTTATACACTAGCCCACAGTTGAACACTACTCAAAATTCAATTACTAATTTAAACACTGCTCAGGCAAGTTACTCAAGTCATGACTAAAATACCACTACTTACAGAGAAAACACTTGCAGATAGCTTGTGTTATTCATGGGTGAATAAACCAAATTTCAGAAGTGAGGAACATCTGTAGCATGCACATGCCTGTGTAGTCTCAATGGGTTAAGTGAACATAAGCCCTATCGTAAATTTAAGTAAAAAAAAAAAAAAAAAAAAAAAAAAAAGTATACCAAAATAACTACAATCCCAATCCCATCAAGCTACAGGCCTCATCCTATAGTTAGTTCTGTGAGTAGGCACTTGCAGGAGTGGGCCTTATGATTACAACAAAACTTACTAAAAAAATGTCTATCACCCCATTCAGACCTCACAGGTACAGTAACCAAGGATCAGCTGCTCCTTTTGAACTAAAACGTCCAATTATTTCTCTAACATTATGAGCATATGGTTTATGTAATCTCAGTTACTCTATTAATAACCTGCCCAAGTGAGAAAGGACAAGTCTGACCCCAACCAGAGCAGGGTAATAGAAACTATCAACTCAACAGCTGTATGCCAGTTTTAAAGATAACTTTGTTCGGATCATGTATTGTAGGATATAAGTTTTCAGATGTATACAATCAAAATCCAAATTTTTAACTACCAGGAAAACACTTGTTTTATTATCCTTTATTTAGAATTTAATGTCTGATGGATGTTTTTGTATATTCTTTGAAGATGTTCCATTAAAATAATTTAAAGAACACATCTAAAGCACCATTTTAAGTGAGACAAGTTATAAAACAAGACAAGTTATTTGGTTTTGTGGGTAAACTGAAGGAAATGCTGTGGTGTTTTATAAGAACATAGTTTAGAGTTCTGTTGTATCTGTCTCAGTCCCAAGAGGATGAATTACTAGTCTTCTTTTTACACGAACAGATATAAAACAAAAGTGTTGGACTTATGCATTGCCCATAAGCTTGCTTGTTAATATATTACATGCTTGAACCTTATCATAGAATACCTATATGTTTATAGTAGCAGTGCATAAATTGCGTAATGGGGGGAGGGATAGCTCAGTGGTTTGAGAATTGGCCTGCTAAACCCAGGGTTGAGAGTTCAATCCTTAAGGGAGCCACTTAGGGATCTGGGGCAAAATCACTACTTGGTCCTGCTAGTGAAGGAAGGGGGCTAGACTTGATGACCTTTCAGGGTCCCTTCCAGTTCTATGAGATAGGTATATCTCCATTTATTTATTTACATTCATCCAAAAATGAAGTTACCTTTGCGGACATCTATATGAGGTGATCAGTTTAAAGTGACCAATCTAAAAATTACTGATCTATTTCAATTTGACCAGAAGGAGACAGGCTGATCCATGCAATACCTATAGTTACCCCAATAACAGGATGAGCTAAAAGGTACTCAATTTTTCAGTTTCAGGGATTATAAAGATTCCCTCAGGCAGAAGCAATAGATTCTGACATGGTTTAAGTGGATACTGATATTTTCAAAGTGAGTCCTAAAATATCCTATCAGCCCCTAAATGCAACATCTGGATGATTCTGTAACCGTTATTTTTTAGCCACTTTTCAAAGCCTGTATTCACACACAACTTCCATTTATTGGTGCTGGTTGTTAAAGTGTCTGCTACTAAAATGCAGATAATATTGCTTTGAGCTAGAAAACAAATGCTGCTCTGCTTTGGATTTCAATGCTATCAGCCCCAATCTGCTTATCAATTTTATACTAAAGCGTGATGCAAAAGTGTTACAGGATAAGGAGACATGAAAAAGTTACTACAAAAATGCTTTACATAGTACTTCACAGATGCACAAAAAAAAAGCGCAAAACACAAGTATCCCATTCATTCACTAATATTTTCAGCAAGTAAAACCCACCTACATATGTTTTAAGGGAGAGGGAGAAGTTACAGGGAAGTATTTCCCTTCTTCCCTAGAATAAAGTATATGTCTGCACTTTATAAAAAAAAAAAAAAAACCTCACTACCACAACAGTTAATCTAATATATGGTCTCATCTGACAATTTACTGATTTTCTTTAACTTAAATAAACATCATACTCCAGATAGAGACTAATTCAGGCTTAACTGGGAAGAGAGAGGAAATGTAGGGAGAAAAGGGCTGAATATCAAACAGGCTATGTTAAAATACCTTAAAATAAATTTAGATTACTTGAACAAGTACTGTCATCTAGGAATAACCAGAGTGATCTAATTGGTATTTGTTATTTTTATGATAATCCTAGCTTCATAGCCCCCAGTGAAAAAAAATCAGTTTATATAACTCAGCAAACATTCTGGTATTCTAGGACCAATAAGGCATTGTTACAGAGATTAAAGAGGTATTAACTACCTCAGTGAAATGAAGAGGTGTACCCAATTCTCAAAGGTGCTGAGTACACATATACACAAACAATGCTGATATTTTAGGCTTGTTTTTTTGTTTTAATTGGACAGGGTTTTCACTAAACACATTAATACAGAGTTTAGACCAGGGGTAGGCAACCTATGGCATGCGAGCTGATTTTCAGTGACACTCACACAGCGGCCAGGCCCTGGCCACCAGTCCAGGGCGCTCTGCATTTTAATTTAATTTTAAATGAAGCTTCTTAAATATTTTAAAAACTTTACTTTACCTACAACAGTAGTTTAGTTATATACTATAGACTTATAGAAAGAGACCTTCTAAAAACATTAAAATGTATTACTGGCACGTAAAACCTTAAATTAGAGTGAACAAATAAAGACTCGGCACACCACTTCTGAAAGGTTGCCGACCCCTGGCTTAGACTTTTCAATGTACAAAAGATTATATATCTCCTCCACGAACTTAACCTTTCAGGTATAAAGCATTACACGATTGAAAACCTATATATCACAGTGCCTCTCCGATGGAGATTATAAAGGACAGTAATAAAGAACAAATTATAAACAAGTATTCTCAGATATTACTCCCCTGAGCCTCTGCTGTGTTATTGTGTCTTCACAAGGAAACATGCCCAAAGCTGCATCCAAAGATATTTAAATGTTACACTTTACATATTTATACCTAACTTTCCTAGGGACTGAAGTCCTACTGCAACAAAGTCACAGTATCTTAAAGTAACTAATACTTCCCCCAAAGTTGCCTATTAAGTTTCGCATATCCCATCACAACATTTATTTGGTCATCTGTCTTAAAATGTTAGTTAAGGTTTTGTCCCAACCTCTTTTGTAGGTTTCTTTTAAAAAAAATGAATAAAATAGAAGTTGTGTATCTTACATTTATTTAAAAAAAGCTTTCAAAGGACAAAAAGTACATAGGTGGACTAATTTTAAATGAATATTGAGCAACTCATTTACTATCACTTCAATTACAACAAAGAATCAAATACACCACGAAACCCAGAAGTCTAACAATACAGCAAGCTCTTATGGGGTGTGACTGGATAACTCCAGTGAAAATGAGCTCTCATTCACAACACAGAAGTGGGGCTTTGGGGGTGGGGTCGGATGAAAGAGGTTAAAAACGTGTGTATATGTCGACTATGAAAAAGCTTTACCAAATAAAACACCCGCAACTCACAGTAACTAGGAGAGAAACATGCTGCATCTCTCCTATCTCACGTTGCCAAACACACATTAATCCCCCCCCCTTCTGTGATTTCAGTCCCACCCGCTTCTCTCTTGCATATTTCTCCTGCCTTAATTCCTGCTGCAAATTCCTTCCTCCCAAATTTGGGCGCAAACTAGAGGGGAGGGGGTACC